AAGACATCGTATAATACGTTACTTAACGTCAACATGCTGGTTCCGTTCTAATGTATGTGTTATTTTATCTACCGTACGATATTCGAATCCAATTTTCAATACTTAATTTAAGAATTCTGAATTAGGATAGTCGACGAATGACAATAATTATTGTAACGACAATTATTCACATTTGATTCCATTATAAGTAGAATTCAAAATTGAGAAATAAAAATAATTTAGCATCATTTTCAATTTTAATTTAAAAATATCCATAGTAAAAAAATATTTTAACATATTGTAATTTATTATTTATTAGACTGGTAGTGCAAATTTTGCCGCCCCTCAAAATTTGCCGCCTGGAGCAAATGCTCCATTTGCACCTAGTATAATGCGGCCCTGCGAAAATGAGCGAATGCCGTTTTGCGACAAAATTAAAAAGTTTGAAATTAAAACCTATTCAACGTTAAATTCGATACTTATTTATTTATATTAAAATATATTTTATCGATGTATAAATAACGAAAAATGTTATACAAGAGTAGTGCAGTAGTGCAGGATCCTATTTCATATTCACATGTTTTACTATTTATTTTAGGACTAAAAATGCGTCGTATAAATTTCTTTTCTGGAACTTTCACATGAGTATAAAATTACTGGTCTAACTAAAACCTTGTACAATCACATTTTTGATTTTTTTATAGTACCTTGGACCTGAAGGTTTTCTGTAGCGTGAAATAACACCTGTTTCCAGCTTTTACTTTCAGGTTTATTTCCTTTTTTTTTAATTATTGTGACTATTCATATCAACTCCCAGATATTTAAAGATTTCTACTTTTTCGAAACTATAATTTTCAATGTCCAAAATTCTGTTTTGGTGTAGTTGAGTTACTCTCATAACTACCATATAATCAGTTTTTCCTTCAATCATCTTCAGCCCCACACTCAGCGCTCTAGTTATCAGCTTCTTCATAGTGTTTTTTATGTCCTCTTCATTTGACCCAAGTATCACTACATCATCAGCGTAGCCATTTTTCGATTGAAACTGACACCATTCGCTGTTTCTTGAACCTTCCTAACCACCTCCTCTAGGGCAATGTTAAATAACGTCGGTGACAGGGCATCTCCTTGTTTTAAACCTACTGTTGCCTAGAATTTTTCTGAAAAATTATTTCCAAATTTGATTTTATATCTTGATCAAGATATCGATCCCTCAATGCATGCTTTCACTATTTTGACTAATTTTGATGGTGTACTGAACTTTTCTACAGTGATTTTCTCTTCATAGAATCGTATGCCTGCTTAAAGTCTATAAACAGTAGATGTAATGGTACTCGTAATTTTTTTCTATTACTTGTCTTATTAGTGTAAACACGTGGTCAACTGTAGATTTTTCTGGTTTAAAGCCGCATTGGTATTCACCTACTATTTCTTTCACATATGGTTTTAGTCTATTTAAGATAACATTTGATAATATAATAATATTTTATAAGCTCTATTGAGTAGCGATACACCGCTGTAATTATGACAATCTTCTGGGTCACCTTTTTTTTTATATATGGAGCGTATTACAGCTACCTACCATTCTTCTGAGTTCTGGTACCTAGCTGTTCTTGTTGCTATATGAGGGGATACCGCAATAAAAAAACGAGCCACGTGTAATACCTTACGCTTTTAAAAAACATGGACGATGTGATATAATTTCGTCAAACAAGCATAGGTGGTGTGGAAACTTACGCGACGTTGCAGTCATCGTATACGAGATACATCGAGTACATTGAAGTATTATCTAGGTATATAAATAATGAAGTCTTTTATTTTTTTGGGGTGCACAAGTCCCTTCAGCATACCTATATCCCTATAGTTGCGCCAATGTACCTACAAATTGACGCGGTAATGCTATTTTTATTCTTTATGAAAACGTTTTACTTATTTTAGGTATATTTTTCTTAAACATTAATAAATTGCGCAAGATCTAAATTCTAAATTGTAAAGGTTCTATTATAGGTACCTACCTATATAATTCCATGCAAGAAATAGTTGTAAATGATTAGGTTTATTTTATTATTAGTTAAGATAATAGGTAGGTACTTTAAAATTAAAAATTGAAAACTTTAATAGGTTAATGATTTAATAATAATAATCATAAATTTCATATTATTAAAATGTTTATGTAATTTAGAGCATTTACTATGTTTTTATAGTATAAGCTATAACATTATAAGGTACCTAATAGTTATAGCAATCGTCAATTAGAAAACATATGCATATAATATTATTATATAGCCATATAGGTAACTAATTATGATTATCATACAGGTAATAAAAATTATCGCAACTTAGACCACATACGTACAGCGTACTTATCTAATATACGATTTTAAGTTGTATATTATGCGTATCAGTGGTAGGTATTAAAGGATTTAGAATAAATGTGCGGCAAAAAAACAACTTATGTAAATACATGTTATATTATTATGCTTTTATTAATAGCACATTTTTAATAATACTTATTGCCTATGATTTCTAAATAGGTATTTAATATTAGTTGTCTTGTACCTACCTATTAGTCAATTATTGGCTATACGGTTTTACCTATAATTTATTGATTTTTTCATACAATTTAAATCTTTATACTTTATGTAAGATATACCTTCCTAATTATTTTTTTTACATATAACATGATTTTATATTGACAAACCATTGTATTTCAAGCTCAAGCTTATTCTATTTATATTATCAAAACGACAAAATGGTTAATTTCAGCTCGATAAAATCACAATATAAACAAACAAATAAGTTGCAATAAGTTAGACAGTTGACAAAATGACACCGAACCACATTATACATAATACTCTTGAAGTTAAAGCATGGATTAATAATATGGTGTTTAAGTGTACTTATATTATCATATTCAATCCTATGTATATATAGGTAGGCATTGTACTAGGGTACCAATTTAAGAAAGAATGTAATAGGTTATTATAGGTACCCAAAAATAAATAGTCCAATGGCTAGTGGGTCATGCGATGAAGTTCCAGGGTTGAGGGTTTCAAAGTACACTTATTAAACTACATTTTTGTGTTGCTATATTGACGATTACGGATTAATTAAAAAAATATTCTTAAGATGACGCTACAACCGCATGTGTTGTCTCCGTCTTACAAATGTAAAACATTGCGAAAACTATTTTGCTCGGGTAAGAACCACCCAGGTAGTAATCCAAGATAACTGATAAGCAACCAAATTTTCACACTATAAAAAATAGAACTTTGCTGAGCACCATCGTTTTTATTTTTTCGATATCAGAACTCAAAAAAAAGTTATTCAAGTTTGAAAATTAATTATTTTTGAGTTTTTCAAACTTGAATAACTTTTTTTCGGGTTCTGATATCATAAAAATAAAAACGACGCTGTACAGTATAATATGTTCTCCTCTTAATAGTGTGAACATTTAGTTGCTTATCTTGGACTCGGCCTGAGTGTTTCTTACCAGCTCGCTAACAGTTTTACATATTTTGTAAGACGGAGACCGCGAGACAACACATGTAGCGTCCTCTTAAATTAAATTCCAGCCCGAATGACTACATAATAGGCTTTTGATAATTTTTGACTAATGGAAAACTTGCATATTCAATGCAATAAAGTCTGTTTAAGTCTAAAATATCTTTACCAAACTGAGAAGTGACTTAACCGTATTATTTGCTTGTGTTTTAAATATTGGATCTACAGCTAGGTATTAAAACTATTAAGTCAATGGATTATATATATTTTTATGCATAGGTACACAATCATTTTAACTAATATCTAAATATTTTATTCAGACATAGTTTTCAACAGTAATCAAAGTAATAATAATAAATTGAAATATTTTCATCATGTTCAGAAAATCAGAAACTACAGCTCTTCAGATGGATATTACTATTTTAAAATTAGGTAGTTATTTTTTTTAATATCTAGCCATCTAGGTAATCAAATTATATAGGTATCAGTTAATTATAATTTAGGTAATTAATGACTACCTATATAATATACACAAGCTTAATTTAATTTAATTTTTAAATTTTTAAAATTTATTCTAAAATAACCAAACTATTTTAAGTACCTATTTATATCTATAGTTAATGAGATTTTTAATATTTACATATATAAACTAAGAAATTTACTAAGAATAATGAAAATGTAAGTAGGTAATATACACCTATACTATCAAATTAATAAATAATGGTAGCAGTTAATTAATGTTAGGTTAAACATAATTTAACTTGTAAGAAGTAAATACTATCATATTACCTAGTTCACCCATGGTGTAAATATTTACATAGAAATATAGAATGTTTAAAAGTAAAAATGCTTATAAGTTTGGCACACAATATATTATATTAGAAGGAATAAATTATCAATTAATACTTCAATTTGTATTTCTAAAAGTTTACCGTTGTAAGTCCAATAGGTGGAATAATAGTAGATTTTCTAGTGGGTCTTCTAGGTTGTGGAGAGAGTTCTGTACCCGTATGTCTACTTCCGGTTGAATGTCGTCGTATAGGTATTATGCCGGCAAATCTCCTCCTTGATGGAGGTGCGTCTCCATCCGTAGAGGGAACTTGGAGAAAGTTTGAAGTTGTACTCGATATAGTATTATTACTCATTTTTACAAATATATAAAAAAAAAAAAATACAAGTAAATAATTAAAACAAAACTGTTTTATTAATGTTTAACAAAAAAATGACACCTATAATACTAAATAATTAGGCTTATCTAACATAGTAAAATGAGCTATCTAATCTTAATGTTTCAATTGGTTAATGGTGTTTTATCTTTGTGTGTGTATATAAAAACTTAAAAGTACAAATATTGATGATTTCATTTTTTATTTTATTTTGACTATAAGGTAAGTAAAAAATAACAAAATAAAATATATCAAGTGATTAATAATTTTTATATGACAAAAAAAATACTAACAAAAAATAAATTAATAGGTAGGTATACCAAATCATTCGATAATATAAATCGATATTATTTATGAACTACTGCCATCATTTATAAACAGATGTCCAATCAGTAAGGGTTCTTCAGTTTCAATAGCAACTTCTACTATTATCCCAACCATTTCACACTTTAATTTATGCAATAACCAACCGTTTTCTAACGTCAAGTTATATATTTTGGAGTCAGGAATAATACAGCTGTAGTCATCGCAATTATTGAAAAACACATTATTGTCCCCCTGAATGCCAAACTCCATTTTATATGGCATTCCATATGGATCTAATGCACCCAAAAATATTTTGTGGGAGTCATAGGGCTTTAATGCTTTAACAGTTATTTCAAAATATAATGTTGATTTAACTTCAAAATGACAAACAAATATCCTATGGTAAGAAGTGTTTTCATTGTTACCATTTAGTCTTAAGCAACCGCCGCCTATAACTGCTTCACCGTCAACATAAGAATTACAAGGAAAGTTACCATCTTGTAAACATAATGGAACAGATGGTTGATAATTTAGTTTTGATAAATCATACCAGGCATCCAAAGAAGACAAAACAAAGTTTTCAATTTTCTTTGATCCATAACCTCGACAGAAGTATGTAGTAAATGGTAAAGTACAAGGAATGTGAATATACAAAAATGGGTAAAGTTTTCGCCAAAATGTATCTTCCACTGCATTGAATTTATTCTTATCACTTAATGTCTCATAGGTCCAACCAGGAGCAAAAATTGCAACAGATAAGTCATATTTTCTAATTATTTCTAATGATTTGTAAGAATCGAGGCCTCCAACGCAATTCCTACCAAAAACATCTACTCCAACATACACATCTATAACTCTATTTCCAGCATTAGCAACAGATTTTGCAAGATCTTCTTCTTTCCAATTATAGTTGAGAAATATACCATCACAGGCTTGAAATGCTAATTTGTTATGATTATTCAGTTGATTTTGCCAAATAAGTTTTCCGGTTTCCATACTTACAGAATCATACCAAATAACTTCAGAATGTGTTATTGCAGTCTTCAGTTTAGTTCTTAATAAGCTTACTGTTTCTATCATATTCTCAATGTTTTCCAATTCTAATTCATTTTCAACATTAAAAAGATAACCATCAAATTTATAATATTTACATATTTCCACTAACTTATCAACTAAGTTGTCTCGTTTTTCTAAATTACTAAATACTTGTAACCATAGAGTGTTTCCATCAGTCCATTCTGTAATTAATGTTCCAAGAACTTTAACACCGTGTTTATGGGCTGCATTTATCCAACCAATTGGTGGTATAGTAATAAAATTATGGCTAAAATAAACAAATGTATCTATTACAGACCAATTATAAAATGTATACTCATTACTAGATTTTGTTCCATTTACAAATCTATCATTTAAATAACCCCCTTGCATGTCATGACATATGAGTGTTTTTGGAAGGCCTTGATTATGCAACCTTTTTGATGTTAAGAAACGTTCATGACATTTATAATCTCTGCCATTAATAGAATAATTAGCACGATCCTTCAAATGTATAACAGGAAGAGAGTCAGACAATGGCTTCCATGATAATGCTTCTTCTAAAGATTTTATTGGCAATACTTCAGTAATTTCCATTTCTGAAATATCAATATAAGGAATATAAAAATCTTTAAATGTTTTCCAATAATCATTAACTTACCATTCAAAATGAATTAACAACGAATAGCAAAAATTACAATAACTGGAAAACTATTATTGAAAAACCATAATTCAGAATAACTATAAACTTAAAACTACAACTTTCAACCTATAGAAACTAGCAGCTAACAAGTAAAAAATACAACTTGACTCATGAATGTCGATAGTTGACACACAAAATGAATTGAAATAAGTATCCGTCATTCCGTCCTATCCTATTCATATCAGAGAAAAAATATAATTAAGCTTTTTTCACTATCAATAGACAATATTATTGATGTTGGCGCCATAATTAGATGGATATAAAAAGTGATAAGGGATAGAACCACACAATTATAATATAATATCCATTATCCACCATAAACTATAGTCCGTGATATTCACCTTGGGGCTTGGAAGTTGGAACCACTTGGAAACACAAATAGAACATTTACAGCTGAGGTCTTGGCATTGAACACGGTCTGTGGTTTCGGTGGAATGTTTAAACTTTTAAGCACGGACTGCGATGTAGAGAAGATATTATGGTGATACCACGTTTTAGCACTTACAAATATTCCAGAAGCCAATATCAAATACTATTTTTTTACTATTTTTATATAAATGATTAAATAATTTATAGTATTTGCCCATATTTTCGACGCAAGTTTGATACATACCTATTCTTTTTTATGTATATATAATATAACGGTACCATTTTTTTCTAATTTTATATCATGATTCATGGTAGACTAGCGACACTAAGACAATGGACACTGATCTAGAGGTTACGTTAACTTCACAGACTAATTACATGATATGTAAATATATTACATATCACGTCATGTTTATAGCCTTTACGTGTTTTATTAATATTAAAATATTAAATATAAGAATAAACAATATAATTATCCTATATTATCTATGAAAGGGCATCCTTTGAAAAATCAGAAATATTGTACCAATTTTTTTTTATGTAGCGTTGTCGTGAATGGTCTGGCGGGGTCGGGGGCAGTTGTCCGAAAAATGATAAAGACCCGGATCGAAAGACGGCGGCATAAAATGTATTGCCAACATTGAATTTCTAAAAATTATATTATACAATTATATTTTTGTTTGTGGGGTTTCACTGTTCCACTGAATGATAATTATGGATCACTACTAATCGTACAGTGATGCGGTGCTAGCGGCACTCGTCGCTACGCTCCTCGGCGCCGTCGCTCCGCTCCGCAAATCGAAAATATCCCCCGACTTGCTGTGCAACACCTCCCCAAGTGGGTCACAGGGTTAAGAAAATTGTTTTGTGGAAAATTGTTTTGTGGAACAAATAGTACTTAAAAAAAAATAATTTTTGTTCCAAAAAAAATATTATTAAGATCCACAAATAATTTGTTCCAATTACTATTTGATCCGCAACATATTTGTTCCAATAATTATTTGTTCCACGAAATATCATATCATAGTATAACTTTTATCAACAGAAATAATAATAATAATAATAATAATTTATATTACAACATTTCGATTACAATGGTTGGCAGTACTTTTTCGATTTTCGATTTTCGGGTCCTTATCATTTTTCGGACAACTGCCGATGCCCCGTCTGGCGATACCACAGTTCTCCCGGAGTGATAAGAACGTTGTTATCGTGTTTTTTATATTGAAGACGACTTGTTTACAAAACATACCATGTTACATCAGGTTAAGCGTAAAAACACACCTTTTGTCTACAAATTTACAATAATATACAGCATATACCACAGAAATTAGAAGTTAAAAGTACATTTGTAGTTAATAGTTATGACTACGGTAACCAACAACATTCTGCAAGGAAAAAGTATAGCCGATACTGTTTCGAAAATGGAATCTGGCGAGGTAAGGAATTTAATCCATAAACCAAATTATTCAAATAATTAAGAATGATAACACAAAAGGATTTATCAAATAATATAATACATTCGTCTGTAGATTGCATCTGTGCTTCTAGTTCTAGTGCAATGCTAACATTATTGCACATACATTATTCCAGGCACCATTAATTGAAATAAAGGCAATTCTCGTTGCAAACTAATTGTTGTCATTTTTCAATTATTTAGTGTCTAAACATGAACTCAATAGAAAATTTGTCATCATACCATTGGAAACTACTAAAATTGAAGGGTCGATTGGATACTATTACCGAACGTATGACAAAAAGAAAAAGTGGAACATTGGAACCGTATACTACATACATGGATGAAGATTCCACGGATAAAATTGATAAATTTTTGTTAATGAGTCAAGTAAAACCATTGGAGTCAGATGATGATGATATGGACTTAGATAAAATTATATAATATTTTGATTTTTAATGTAAATAAAATATAATGTAATATAACGTATATCATAAATTTCAATATTCTTGTTTCACTATTCTTCGATTTCAATCACATTTTCTTTGCATATTTTATCAACTAGATTATTAAATACTTCAAATTGGTCAGCAAAAACATGATGACCCGCATTCGGTATAGTCTATTACATGAAAAAAACCAATATTAATTATTATTAATAAAGTAACTATGTTAATTATAATAGCTAAGATGTATTACCTCAACTTGAACAAAATTATTTTCTCTTTCTAATTTAATTTTTTGTCCAATACTTTGATCCATCCAAGTGTTTTGTCCATAAATAAATGTAATGGGCACTCTTTTATCTAAATCATGTATACGTTTAATCATTGGGTTTTTTGCCCAACCAAAACCAGTAACCAATGAAGTAAAAGCGCTTTCGCCCCTAAAACAAATATAATATAGACCTTTATTACATTATTATAAGTTATAAGGTGATTTATGAATATAAATTGTTCAATATCTCTCCAGACATAAAAATAACCTAACTTTGCAAATAGTTATAAATATACTAGTATAATTTTAATTGTTAGTACATTTAGTACTTACTAAATAAACAATGTTAAAAGGACGCTATAATTCCACGTGTTGTCTCTGTGTTACACATGTTTAACGTATCAAATTAATGACTGGATTATTACTACAGTTTATTTATAGTTAATATTAGGGCATATATATTATCGAACTTGAAGATGAGAGTTTTCACTAAGTCATCATATTTCTATTTTAAAACAAATAATATGAATTTAAAAAAATTAATTATTTAATTCTTATAATAGCTTGCTCTAAGCTAATATCCATCATAACTTCAACATTTTGTAAATTAGCTATGAATAAACTGTAGTAAGAATCCGATTTTTAGATTTGCTTTAGAGACAATGTGTTGATTACACATCGGGTAGTGTCGTTTTAAGAATGTATAGGATCTTAATTTAGATATACTTGACATAGAACGCCTCACCCGCATTTGTTGTCTTCGTCTTACAATTGAGTAACATAGCAAATTGTAAGCTCAAAAAACACATGCAGCTCTGTTAGTTTAAAAATTAGAGAGAATTGATCTCTTATAAAATTTAAAGGTAAGATTATTATCTAGACTACCTCATGAGCTTTTTGTCATATTTTAATTTTAAAGCGAGTTACGAGTATTTTAAAATTTTAAATTGTTTGTACATCTTAAAATGCTCATAACTCGCTTTAAAATTAAAATATAATAAAAAGCCCATGAGATTGCCTAGATAATAATCTTACCTTTAAATTTTATAAGAGGCCCATTCGCTCTAATTTTTAAACTAACGGAGCTACATGTGTTTGTTGAGCGTAAAATTTTCTATGTTACACACTTGTAAGACGGAGACAACGTATGAGGGTGAGGCGTCCTATATCAATTATATCTAAATTAGGAATCTAAATTTATTTGATGGTCTGATGAGTGTTGTATTTTTCAACTCCTAAAGATGGAGACAACATAATATGTGGGTGAGGCGTCCTCTTAAGGAATGTTTTTCTAGTAGCTATTAGACACAACTACTAGCCAGGATATAGTCGGTGTCTATAAAAATAGATACAGAGCATTCACAACAGTGAACAGTGCAATACTGCACTTAAAAAATTTTACTTATTTTAAAAACCTTCTATCAACTTAGATTTTACAAGACCACCTATAACTGAAACAGCTAAAATATATTTATGATTTTATTAGAAAATTAATAATAAAAAAGTGTATATTATTTAGTACTCTGAATTAATAAACTAAACATACGTTGCACGTTGAGAATTACATTGATATATATATTCTCCAATCACAGTTGATTGTTCTCCAAGTACAGGTTCAAACTTCTTCAGTATATCAGATCGCAAATTTGTCACTAACCATTGACCTTTAATATCAACAAGCACACAAAATCTTTATATTCTTATAAAACCTATTGAAAACCTATTGTCTAGAAAAAAAAAATTGTTAAATTTACCATAAGGACCAGCAAATCTTACTGGCCACAGTGGATTTAATGATTTAAGAGCATAAAATAATCCTTTGGCCCACCAAGGAATTTTGCTCTTAATATTTTTGTTTTCTTCGGGAAATCCCCAAGGATCAGCAAGTATTAAATGGTGAACTCTATACAAAATATTTTAAAAACTACTAATTGGACAAGATAACTAGTGGTTATACCTTTCGGGGTGTTGTATAGAATAAGCAGTAGCTAAATATCCTCCAAAACTATGGCCAAGAAGAATAAATTTTTCAAGTTTAATTTCTGATCTCCATTTTTCAATAGCATTTACAAATTGTCGTTCCACTTGCTCAGGGTCTGTACTAAATTTTGGCCTAGAACTACGACCAAAGCCCAATAGATCCATGGCATATACAGGCCTACGATTATTTGATATTTTGTCAACATTCATACACCAAAGCCCAATACCAGCACCGAAACCATGTAACAAAACTACAGGTGTTTCACGTTTTTCAGTATTAACTTCTAATGTCCATATTTTATCTTCTTGTTCAACAACTGGACCTAGGTTAACGTATCGAGTACGGTATGGAGATTGGACAACTAAAAATAATTGAGAAAATTGAAATATAAAACAAGAATAATGTTAAGGTAGATGTATAGTACATGCAAATAATTTCCGTTCGGCTTCTTGTAAACATTTCCACGACATTGAGCTCCAAGGAAACCAGCTCCAAAAAGAACACCCTCTGAAACGGTAATAAAGAAATATTATATTAATATTATATTCTTTCTATATTAAAGATATCTATGATCCATAAGGACAATAAATTATAGGTATCGCACCTGTATATTGATGAAGCCTCAGAGTCTATTACTTCAGTCATGATTGAAATATTTTTAATTTATTATCCATACATTTAGAAATTATTCGACACATTTGTATTAAAAAAAAATGAACGAACGTCAAAAATTGCACAACAGTATGAACCGAATATTACGCAATAGTATTTACTAATTAGCAGTCAACTGTTTTACACATCAATAATTAATTTTGATATGTAATCTAAATTAATAAGTAAAAATAAGTTAATTTAATTTGTATTTTGTATTTTATTACTTTATGGTTTATTAAAATTTAGTAATGAGTATTTATAGATAACAAATTAGTAAAAAACAATAGTAAATGATAATTGCATGACAAAAACAATTTGTTTTTTGTTATGACGTCATAGACCTAGGGCATTTTGCTCATAGTCCATAGACAATTATCTACCATGACTCTGCTAAGCAACATTGAGTTAACGACTTGAGCACTCCCGGTGGTTGCCGTAAAAACTAAAGAATCGATAGTTATAGATTATCCTACTATCTAATACTATAAAATGAAGAACAGCTGACTGATAATATTGGGGTCCAATGGAAAGGAAAACGCCGGCTATAGCGAACCCTTGGCGTAAAAAATGAAGCACTGCTCCGTTTCCCCAGCCCGCCGGCCGTGTCCCGTCGATTCCTTATAGCGCGACCAATCGCGTACCTTCGCAGTGGCGGCGGTCGGTTTTAAAACGTTTTTCGTTATCACCTCTTTTCCTATCATTTCGCCGATTTTCGGAAAATTAGCTGTTTTTACACGATATCTTTTCGCCCTTTTATATACTTAATTCGAAGCCACCGGTGTGCGGTTTATATTCGTGCAATGTCGATCAATAAATACACTCCCGACCGGACTTTTTTGCCGATTTTTTCCTTTTCTCTCACCGTTTCGTCTATTCGCACCCGTTTGTGTCCGAATCGAGTCTTTTTGAAGCCGTTTATATGCGCTTTTCCCCCAAAATCGGTTCGTTCGCCTCGCAATCGCGTTTGGAAATTACGCCGGCGACCGACCAGCCGTACGCGTATATATACATGTATATACGTGTATAATTTAATTTTTCCTTATGATTTAATAATTATTAACGGAAAACGCTTTTCACACGTCCCGTTAAATATATATATGGGAGATGCGCGTATTACAAGCGAATTATATGCGATTACATCGATGTACATCGGAAATATCGGTTTACGTCGCTCCGTAGTCGCACGGCTTAATTGTTGATGTTTTCACTGTCTTTCATATCTCAAACTGTGTCCGAGTAGGTTAGGCGTTAGGCAGGAAACACGTAGGTCCCGGGTTCAAATCCGTCGTACGCCGTCCGGGCATTGAAACCGTTAATGCCATATGGTTTACACGGCCGCCCGAATCCCGACTTTTTTTGCATTTTTTTTTCACATTATTTTTCATATAAATTAAATAATAATATAATAATACAGGAACATATCGTACATTATTATTATTTAAAGTCATTATCATTTTATATCACACAATAAATAGGTACATATTATATTTGTTTTATTAGGAATTATTAAAATTGCATATTTTTTAAAATTTCCATGATTGTTATATAAATATAGTTTGTATTTTATTTCGGTTTGCCTTGAAAGTTAATCTTGATTTTGACTTGAGAGTTGAGATGACTGACTTGCTAGACACTCCAACACGGTTTTTGACTTTACACTTTTTACATAAGAAAAGGCACCGGACATGCGAAGGCACATACCACTCTATGTGATATACCTACTATATATAGGTGATATACGGATTGCTCATTTTAGTTTCGTCTTAAACGGTGATGATTGACTTGATAGACACTTTAACAAATAACATGCAGGTTTTTGCAATTTTTTTTAAATTAATATATATACACTATAGGTACATGTTTATATGTATTGGTTAATATAATAGTATGTATCTAACTATCTACCTATATGTTAATATTTTTTAGGAATTATAATTGCACATTTCTCAAAATGTTCATTGTTATATTATATCACACAACAAATACATATCATATTTGTTTGTATGTATATAGTTTGAATTTTTCGTAAATTATTTCGTAAGTTGTGTGATAGGGTTTTCACTTATAGCCGCTTGATGTCGGGTCTGCAATCCACCGCAGGTGGATTGCCTACCTGATTTGCTGTAGCACATATAGTCCGCGATCCGACGAAGTCGGATTGCCTACCTAAGTGGCTAACTTGAAAGTTAATAGATTTTGACTTGAGATGACTGACTTGCTAGAAACTCCAACACGGTTTTCGACTTTACACTTTTTACATAAGATAAAGCACCGGTCATGCTACGGCACATACCACTCTATGTGCAGGTATACTCTATATAGGTGATCCTGGAGATCGTATCCAGCCTATCCATTTACAACGTTTGTGACGGATTGCTAGACACTCAAACTTTTAACATTCCCGCCAAAGCGTCTAGCCTTATCTCCAATCCATATCACTAATCCTTATCACAAATCCTAAACTTTCGTCTTACAAGTTACAACCTTTGCGACTTTTATAATTCATTGTCTCCAAAATCGGTACCCACTCTCAGCGATTCCAACGGGCCCCGAGTTATACTTAGAGCTAGTGGCGGACTAAAATGTAGGTGGCCAGTAATTTGTTGTAGTTTCTATTCTGTGCCAAAAATATTATCAAAACGTTGTTTGGGGAAAAAACGGGGCTGGGACAGATTTCCCGATTTTGATAACAGCGAGATATCATCAAAATCAAATCTTGGGAGATCGGTTATGCCAACCTTAGAATATTTTTTTTTTACCTAACCAGCGTTTCTAACATTAACTAATTCTTATAAATTTTAACTACATTGTAACTCAAAATCGTTTGTTCATGACAAAACTAGTAATATTATAAAGTATAAACACGAAAGTTTGTAAGTAGGTATGCTTGTTACTCTTTCACGTAAAAACTACTGAATGGATTTTAACGAAACTTTACAATAATATAGCTTATACATCAGAATAACACATAGGCTACAATGTATAAAGATATATTGTGTGAATTTTTTTATTTTTATTTTAATTAAAAAAATTGTGTAATACGCGAAAGTTTGTAAGTATAAGTATGATTGTTACTCTTTCACGTAAAAACTACTGAATGGATTTTAATGAAACTTTACAATAATATAGCTTATACATCAGCATAACACATAGGCTACAATTTATAAAGATATATTGTGTGAATTTTTTTATTTTAATTTTAATTAAAAAAATTGTGTAATACGCGAAAGTTTGTAAGTATGATTGTTACTCTTTCACGTAAAAACTACTGAATGGATTTTTAATGAAACTTTTCAATAATATAGCTTATACATCAGAATAACACATAGGCTACAATTTATAAAGATATATTGTGTGCATTTTTTAATTTTAATTTTAATTTAAAAAAATGTGTAAATTGAATACCTACACCTTTTTTAGTAAGAAATAGTCGCTGGCTGAAAAAAAAATAACATTCAAACAATCAATAATTAAAACAATTATTATAAATTATAATTATTTAGTTTAACAAAAAAAAAAACAATTAATCAATCACGGAAGCTTGAGTTTTTTTTTTCTATTTAGTAAATTAGAATTGTTTGCAAGTATAGCATTTTTAAAGTATAAACATAATAATATCCACCGTACAGTATTTTTTAGAAGTGCAGAAAAAGCACATTCTAAGAATTATGCCTCGAAAGCGTAAGTCTAATCTTTCCCAAAGCTCTAATAAAGCTCGAACTATGAAATTAGCTAGACTTAAAGAGACATTTCCACAAGCCGAACTGCGAAGGCTTAAACAGGCAAAGCGTCAGGCAACTCATAGAGCTGCTGAGACACCAGAGCTGTCCCAAGATAGGCGTCGACAGCAAGCTGAGTATCTAGCATCTCAACGGGCTGCAAAGACACCCGAACAGTCTCAACTCTCAAGCTCGGCGTCTTCAGCACTTCAGCAGGCGAATTACAAAGCGTCTCAAATAGTTACAGAAACCGTTAAAGCTGCTGACACACTGTTGCCGGAAGGGCACAATGGCGACGACTAATATTTACAAGAAACGCGTGTGGGGTATCCGATAAAGCTACATTTGAGTACGACGAGAGACTCTTGATTACAAAAGCCACAAGGTAAAAAATCGTTAAATATAGTTTATAGAAGCATACTGCAGTAGCTACCTATAGGCCTATGATTATGGCTCTGCAGTGCTTTGTTAAATTTTTCAAACTCGACTTAAAAATTATTTATATGATAATTTGAATGACATAATGTTAGTTCTTTTATACGTCACGCTAATATAAATTATAAACTACGCAGACATAATCCTGTGCAGACGAAGGATACGCAATACAAATTACGAAGGAATGCATCGTTACTGGTCGGTGGGCAACTTTGAGGAATTCATTATATAAAATAAAACATAATATTATAGTTGGAACTTTCAATGGGCAACGATGTGCACGGGAACAGCTGGTTTTAAATATTTATAAATTGATTTTTTTTTTTTTTTTTGGTAGAACATATTACCACCAATTTTCATAATGTAATAGGTAATTAAAATGTAATTAGATAAAACATTTACAATTAAGTTGGAATAGATTTTATACAAAACACAAAATATACAAAATATAGTATTATTATTTACTATCATAGATATTATTTATTAGTATAACAAAATAAAAATAACAATATAATAACAATATGTACCTAATTAATAAGTTACTTAACTCTTAACTAGTATTAAATAGGTATAGTTAAAAAAAATTAATTACATAACATATTAATTATAATATACATTACAATATAAAAATTAAATAGTATTACAACAAATGTAAGTAGCTATGCACTTTATATTTTTTAAGAGGCTCCTAATTTAATGGAACAAATATTTGTTGGTTCTTAGTTTATATGTTTTATGATATTTTAATTTGATTAGAAGTATTTATTGATTTTTTCTCGCTTTTATTTAAAATTAAGATAATATCTGTGATGAATGAAAAAATTAGTAATCTAACAGATGTATTTAAAAAGATATATTATTAGTCATGTTTAGGACAGGATAATAATTCGAAATCAATATAATATTTCATAATAGAAGTAATATTTTTTTTTACATTTGATTTTTCAATAAAATCTAAAATAAATGTATTGAATGAATGTATAGCTAGACTATATAAATTAGAAGCTTCAGTTATTGAATAAATTAAATTAAATTTTTCATATTCACTGATTTTAATAAAGTATACTCATTCAAAAAAATATTAGATTTTAATTTAGTTTTACACATTTTACAATTATTGACAAGTGGTTTAATTTTTTTTACTATCCAACCTGTAACATATGATCTGGTATTATTTGAAACAAACGGAGATGATAAATTTTGAGTTTGGGGATTTGTAAAATTTAAATTGTGAGATAATTTTGAAATATGTTTCTCTTCTTCTTCAACAGTTTCCTCCTCATCTATTAATGATAAATCTTTTAAGCTGCTTAAAACTCCGTCACAATTATCTTCTTCCCAATTTGCTCCCACCGAATTTGTTGTAGTTAAGTTAGATATTTAAAGAGATTTGAAAAAGGATATAAAACCTGCGCAAGTTGGTATATTATAGACTAGCTGCAGTGGCATGTATAGAAATTATTTTCAATATGACTATATAGTCAAGCATAACATTAACATAGCCATAACTAAACATTTTTTAGGGAGCCGGTGGTTGAATTCATTATACTAGTAAAATATAGTAATAGTAGTACTATATATAAGTAATACTAGTAATATTTATAATCAATGAAAATACAAATAAAGATCTATATTTAATGTTATATTAGGATGAATTTAACATCAGTTATCAAAGAAAGTCCTGACAATCTAACATTTCCTTGTTGATTCCTCAAAAATGATTTTAATCAACCTATAATGCAGAAAAACTGTATACAATGTAAATATACATGCAATGTTTTAATTGAACCTGCAATACGCCAGAGGGCCTTCCCCTATATACGTCAGTAGCTAGCAGTCCTGCTCGGCGTTGTCCATGTTAAAGATGTTTTATTTTTTAAAAATATATTTTGTAAACAATTTCATGTACCATATTTCTACTAATTATAATAGTAATATAATATGCTACCAATGGTATCCCTATAAATAAGCGAAAGAAATATTCATTTTTTATATTCAAGGTATATTCATACCTTTTAACTACTTAGGTATAGGGATTGAAAAAGAACATTAACACCCTCTAAGTCTCAAAAAATCTATTGGTATTACTTTTTATTGAAAACGGTACTGTAGTTTTTGAGTCGGATAAATTAACTTCAAATAAATTAACATCCAATTTTAGCTGGATACTTAGACTTTGCCTGTAAAAAAATTAATTTTATCACTAATAAAAAGGACATTGGGAAGCCCTCATTATTACCCCGCGAGAACACACATCCTATCAAATTAAAAACTAATATTACACTACTGATGGTTTTACAAAATAAAACACGTATAATGAATACAAAAAATTTATTTTCATTGTTACAAAACGCACTGTTTACATAAATAATAGTAATAAATTAATGATAATTACTATCAGTCTTGGAATAAATTGTACTCATTAGTCACTATTCATCTTAAAATTGAATATCCTGTAATTGATAAATCTTTTTTTGAGAATGTAGTAGAATTCCTAAAAATGAAATAAAAAATAATGTTGGTATTTTTGAAAATAACATTTTTAAATTGTATATATTATAACCTGTGGATATCTTTGATAAATTCTAGTAATTTCATAAAACCAATTAATACATTTTCTGATCCATCTCCATTTGATTGTTGTGATCTGATGTCAAATGATGTTATCCTCTTATCTTCAACATCTTTACTTATTGTTCTATAGAGAAGCAAACTCTAAAAAAAATATAATATTATCATTATTAACTCTAAACAAGAACATCGAAAACTATTAATAATAAGTTAGACTGATAAATTTAATACTTTTTTCTGCAAAAAAAAAACTACTGTACTGCTATGTTCCTTGATTGATATAAGCCAAGTATTCAACAGAGTTTGGTATAAAATATTTTGGCTTTATTAATTAAAAGACTCTCACTTCATTGTTATCCCTATAACTAAAATATTAGTTTAAGAAAATCCTGCTTCCAGTTAGTCTCTCTCTAAGCACTCAGGAAGTCAAAAGAGTGGCTGTCAAAGGAAATAGATAGAAAATTAATTGAAAATAAAAAAGGCAAGGTATGGGATCTTATCCCATATGAATTTGATACTGAAGTACTATTAGCAAATAAACCTTCCTCTTATTAATTAATCTCAATGCACACGTCTTGGGTCGACGCATATGTAGCACAGTTGAAAAGTGCCATTTTAAAATCCAATTAGGCTCCTCAGTTTCTATAGGATAAAATTCATTCGAAATCCCCTAAAATCCAAAATGAAATTTTCTCTAGATTAGACCAACCTACATCCCAAAAACAATTAATAGAAAAATTCTTGTCACTGCCTCTAAGAATTTACAAGCTCATCTTAATTGTAAGTCTGAATGATAACAATTGGTATACTCAACATAATCAAAATTAAACAATTGATTTCCTACAAATGTCACCTTATGTGAAATAATTGTAAATAATTATTATTGGTAAATAATGTTTTCCTATTCCTGTCACTAATACAGTCAGATATTTATTATTAAACCTGGAATAATCACATTTGTACCAAGAGCTATAAAATCAAGTTTTTTTGTCACATACTCAATATACAAGTAATAAACATCCTAAATTAAAAGTCAAAGTAACGACTTACTAATACCATTAATTATAAATACTATAGATTGCTCACTGTTCGGTTTTTCGGTGGCGCAAAATATTTACTCCTGGTAAATGACAAGGTGACATTACTACTAGTGATTACAATGTTACAAAACATTACTAACCACAGTAGCTCGGGTTAGTAATGTTGTAATCGCTAGTAGTCACGTCACCTTGCAATCTACTGATTTTGTTTTTTTTTGCGTCACCAAAAAATCTGACAGTGAGAAATCTGTAGTATTTATAATCAATAATAATACCTAACTAAAACGGCTATGGTTTTTAACTGGGGTATTGCTAAAATTTCAAATTCAAATAAAAATTGATTATTTCGAATTATTTCTTACTTCTTTGACTTTAATGTCAAAGTATATTCTTTATACAATAAAATCCTTGGTAAATACTAACTATGACATAAAATGCTGCACAATTCTATAAACACTATCAAAACCGACTTAAAAACCACTATAACCTACTAATTAATGATTTTTAGACAAATTCCGTACTGAGAAATGTATAGTATTTCCTACAGAACATGTTGTTGTAACTTTACTTTATAGAAAAAATAAAAATATAATAGCTAACTTATTAATTCTTTACTAGGTCTAGTGTGGGTCTAATGGGTTTCTGTTTATTCAAAAACCTATGACTTATTGTTCCATAGCATCGCATTTGTGCTAAATATATAAAATGTTTAGTTCTTTAAAAAAAAAACAATAATAATTAGGTACCATATTTTTGGCGACCTCGGCGATTTCACATAATTGTTGGTTGTTATCACTGTTTTGTGATACTTTCATTAAAAGTTGACTGGTGAATGTATATACACATAGTTCCAAAGCATCATTTAAACTGGCTAAATCTACATCTAACACATATCTTTCGTTGAGTGCTGATATCAATGAAGTGGAAACAGCTCCATGCTAAATTATTGTCAAAATATTATGTTACATTCTAAATAACTGTAATTAAATTAAAAGTAATATAACTCACTCTAGTTATTTTGTCGGAAAGGAATACAATCATTTCATTTAGTCCATCAATGGTACAGAATGTACTGAACCTTTTATCAACAATTATTTCTTTGCTAACAATATTCTTGAATACACTTGCATCACTTATGCCCAATTGAAGTAGTGATACAATTTCATATGGAGGGATCATGATTCTCACAAGAATTGAATTGCAAGAATACAACATTTCAAAAAGTCTTAAAAATAGCCAATAATAAAATTATTATTATTATAGAATAAGATACATAAATAAGTACGGTATACTCTTACATTTTTCTGGTTGTACTAATTGTCAGCAAATCGTTTTCTGTAAATAAATCTCCTCTAGTTTTCCAACCAGGTAAATTTAATTGTACTTTTTCATTTTTGAAGATACTTATGATTAAAGCATCTGGATCATTTAATTGTAAATATGAACCATAAGCACAATCCCAAATATTTTCCTAAACCCAATATATATATTTTTGTATCTGTCAATGAAAAGGTATGAAACAATATAACAATAAGTTACTTACGATAATTTTTTCAAGTGCAATATAACATGAACCACCAACAGATTGCCAATGATAATAATATTCTTTTGAAACAATTAAGTTCATCAATTTAATAACTGACTGTACAAGGTTTAAATGAGGAGTTGTAAGTTTCATATTCTTTGGCTAATTATTAAAAACATGTGTTAGTTGATCTATTTTACGTTGTATAAAAATATAATTAATATATTATTTTATCTAATACTTACAAAATTTAAAATTATTGACAAGTCTTTGAAAATTGAAGTTAATTGCTGTATTGCTTCTCTTTTTACACAATGGTCACAAGTATTTAAGAAGTTTACAAGCATTTTGAAATAGTTTTTATAAACACATAACCGTTTTGGATCATCAAATTTAGTATCAAATTCAGTCTAAACGAAATAAAAATAAGACATTAAAAAAAAATATAAACAATTTGTTGTGTCTTTACTTATTACTTACAAATTTTGCAGAACATACAGCGCAAAAATGCTTTATGATATATGGCTGAGTACCAAACTGCGAATGAAAATTCTTAAACGATGATAAATACAGAAGAAAATCAGTTACTTCTACAGTGACAGAATTAATTTTATTTTCCTGAATAAACAAATAAAAGCAAATTTCTATAATCAAATAATAATGAGCAACTATAACTATACATACTTTATTGGATTTGTCCACAAATTTAAGCATTTGACAAATAGTATTTGTTAAAATATATGATTGACGCAAATTAGTAGATGATCTATTAATTATAGGTATGATCTTATAAAATAATGAGTTTATTAATTTTATATTAGTAACAATAGATCGATATTCATGATCTGTTTCATTGATATTTTCCAATTGATTCTCAGCAAGTTCACAAATACTACTATACATTTCATTACTAAATTCATCTACAATAGAAAAATCAAAGAGTTAAAAACATGTTTATTGTTTAAAAATAAATAGAAAAAATATATTTATAACATAAACCTTTAGGAACATTTTCAGTTAAAGCTGCATCGTTAAAAAGTATAATATTTACGATCTCATTCACTACAATCAATACTGAAGTTTTTGATGTTTGGCTTTTTGATAACGATTCATTGTCGTTAAGTAGTTTTAATATTGTTTGTACATCATTAATGGTTGATTTAGAATTCATAACACAGGTCCTATTAATAAAAATGAAGACAAATCTTAAATTAAAAAGCATATTCTAAATACCAAACTAATAGAAAGTTAACATATAATTTATATTACTTTCTAATAAAATAAGTATTGAAATTCTTTACATTATCTATAATATAGTACTACACAATGTGTGATAACCAGGACTAGTAAGTTAATACATTTGCATATAAATCTTGCTAAGTTGTATTTAATGCTAGACGACATAGAAATCTATTTCAAGGTACCAAGGTTAAATATGTGAAGTCTTATTTTGCATGTTTTTGCAAATTTAGAGGTTTTTTGCCTATTTGGCATATTTATGCACATTTCTATTTTTTCGAGCATATTATACATGATTTTGATATTTCAATTCCCTATTCATATTGTTATATCAATATACATTTTTATATGAAAATACTATGAAAGAATCAACATTTGACAAAAAAAAAAAAAAGGCGAACGTTTATAATTTTTCATTATAATATTATATAAAATGTTTGGGATTTCAGTGGCAACATAAAATGTTTAAAAATTAAATAGCTATATAGTAGTAATGACTTCATTCAGTTTTTTTTTTTTTTTTTGTAATTAAAATATTTTATTCAATCTGGTTCAATACATGAACAATAAGAACAATTGATGAAAGTAAAAAAATAAAATAAAATAAAAATAAATGACAGATTATCCCGAATGTAGAGGCCTCCCAGCGGAGGTACTACGACATGAGTAGGACTAAATTAGGCTAGCAGGTTGCGACACCACTGTCTTTTAAGTCTTTTAACTGGGTTACCTGTGATAGAAGCAGATTCATTCAGTTAATCAGTGTTTTGGGTACACATCACAATTGGGTAGAATGATTTATGATTATTTTAAGTGAGCATTTTTTAAGTGCATATTTTTAGATATTTAGTGCATAAAAAATGCATATTTTTAACTTTTTAAGGCATATTTCAATGCATATTTTGCCAATTTTGAGAGCATAAATGCATGCTTATTTAGGCACTTTATCACTTTATAGGGCATGAATTTACAAGCCCTTGTGATAACATAACAATGGGTTTTTTAATTATTAGGTATGTGGGAAAACATTTTTATGTATACTATAGAAATTGTTAACAGGTTTTTATTAATCAAAACTTGTCAGGACTACAAAAAAAAAAATAAAAATATTTTAACTATTTATTTAGGTATTACTTGATATTATTTATAGCTTAATAAGTAATAACCAACAATATTAATTTAATATTTCAAAATATAAAACACTTACTTCTTCCACATTTGTAACATGATCAGTAAAGATTCTCCCAAACTAACAATTGAACTTATGTCATTACTTTTCAATTCAATTATAAATAATTTTAAAATATTTTCAACAACTAGATGTTTGTTGTTGACAACAGAATCACGGTGTTTTAAAATCAGAAGAGTAAAAAACTTCCAAGAGTAAATTAACTTTCGTTTAATATCAATTAGAGCATCATTATTGTCTTCAAAAAAATGTAAAAATCCCTGAAAAATTAAAAGAAAGCAATAGAAAATTAAGTTGATCATTTTAACTAGGTAAACTTATTTAAATAGTCAATTTTCACTAAGTATATAGTTAAATAACTTACTTTTAACATGCTGTTTAATCTAGTTTTCAAAAAAATATCCAATTGTTCTGCAAATTCTTTATTGCTTTCAATAGGACAATAATGGGCTTGAAGTGACAAAATTGAAAATACTTCTGAATTTATTTCTGGTATCATTCTATAAATATTATTTAAATTTTAAGGTTTCAAAATAATTTATAAATTATAAGAATAAACTACAACATAAAATTAATTTTCATACAAACTAATACAAATTTCAATATTTTCATCATGCGACAAAATCTGTTTAAGTAAAAATGAATTTCATACCATATTGATATTATGTAATAGCATTGGTTATAAATAATAGATTATATTATGTCTATAGTATTTATAATAAACGGTTAAGAGAATGCTACCCATGCATTTGTTGTCTCCATCTTACACACGTCCGATATAGAACATTTTTGTTCCCTAGTTTCAATAGAGGGCCATTAGTTTTGATTTTAGAGTGAATTGACCAACTATCAAACTTTTATGTAAGAACATTATCTGTGCTTTAGTTTTGGCAAATTATTTATATTTTCATTTCCAAGCAAGATATTGGTATGTGAAATGTCATCAACAACTAAAAATGCTCATATAACCTTTGAATGTTCTTATCTAAAAATTTGAAAATAGGCATCATAGGCGCAACTAAGGACATTATTCTTGGGGGCTAAAATTGTATCAGCAGCATAAACACTGATAACTAATATTTTAAGCTAAACTATTTTTATTTTTTATTTTTACAAGATATTTACAATCTATTCAGAGAACAATAATCAAATTAGATAAGAGTAATAAAAAACATGAGTAATATGAGGGAAGTAGCCACCCAATAATGACACTACCTATTTTGTTTAGAGTTTAGTAGGAGGATTTGATCTAGGATTCAAGCATCTAGCCGGTCACGACACCAATTACGTTTGAGACGTCTGACGGGGTTACCCGGAATCGAAGGGACTACTAGATTTTTTTATAAGTGGATTAGGATGATTAAGTAACCTACAGTGAAAGCTAAAATATGATAAAAAAACTCATGGGGGCTTAGCCCCCCTAATTCACCTATGATAATTGGTCAATTCACTCTAATATCAAAACTTATAGCACACTATTGAAACTAGCAGGGTTTTGCACCCGAACGTAACCGGAAACCTGAAATAACCCAAATAAATATCATAACCCAAAACCCGTATATACAAAACCGATTGAAGAAAATTAACATCCAAAAAACACCCGAAATAACCGGAAACCCGAATTATTGAAAATTAAGTGGCACATCAATATGTATGTATTTTTTGCAACTACACGACTAAGAAGATAAGAAGATAGTAGTGTAAGTGTGTAACGGAAAACTAATAATTTTTTTTTGTTACTTACAAAATAATTAATTAAATACTAAAAAAGACCTCGATACTAAATGATTGTTATATTTTATTTCACAATATTCAATAACACACAATAGTAATTGTGTTGTCTAATTATCAAATATATAACAAAAATACTTTTAGTTAAAAATTAAAATATGTAATAAGCGAGAACTTTCTTCTGTAAAAAAAGGACTGAGTAAGTACTAAATAATAATTAATAAACTAATAAGTATTAAAATTTAATTTATAATTTAATTTTTTAATTTTTTTTTTTATGTTTACTTTAAATATAAAATTAGATTACTATATCAAATTTAGATTAAAAATCTCATGTTAATTGATATACAACAAGTGTTTTTTTTAACACCCGAATTAATCATAATTAACTCAAATAAATTTGCATTTAACCGTAACCAGTAGGGAAAGGATTTTAATTTAAATAAATATTTTTATGTAATAATAGCATCGGAAAGTTTTCGATATATGTATACGTTTCATTTAATTTCAAGTAATCTGATGCTAATTTTATTTTGAATATTTTTAAATATTTTAGAATAATTAAATTTGTTTACAAATAAATACATAAATTATGTAATATTGTAGAATTTCCGTGTATATTTTAATTATTTTACAAATAAATATACGTATTCTGTATTATTGAAGAATTTCCATTTTTATTTTAGTATTTTGTGATACGATTAGGTCTCTGTACTGTACACTTTTGACATCAAACGACAACGATTCGATATCTTATCTAGTTATCTAAGTAGTAGGTAGTAATTTCTCAGTATACGAGTATATGCGTTTGCTTTTCGATCAGTATTCGTATGATCACGTTATTTTCGTATTGTGTCCGTGTGTGTAGTTTGTATATTATAATATTGTTAACTATTTAAATATGCCCAAAGTAGCTCGCACAAAACGGTCAAAAGTTAGTAATTATTTGGAAGAATTTCCGAATGAAACTATTAGGAGTGATGGACAAGTTTTATACTGTCAGTCTTGTGATAAATCAGTATCTATCGACCTACGTGGTCAAGTTATTCAGCACATCAATACCAGTAAACATAGAGGCAATAAAGACAGAAAGCTTATATTTCAACAAAATTTTATTTCTACATCATTCGCATCTACCAATAGTAAGTCAGTTTTTAACGATGATTTGTGTCGTGCACTAATATGTTCAGACATTCCTCTTTTTAAATTGAAAAATGTTGCATTTAAAAATTTTATGGAAAAATATACTGGTCATAAAATTCCTGACGAGAGTACACTTAGGAAAAACTATGTTAGTGGGGTGTATGAAGAAACTATTTCGAAAATTCAAAATATCATTAGAGATGGCCCTATTTGGGTTGGAGTAGATGAAACAACAGACGCTGACGGTCGATATATCGCAAATGTTACTGTAGGAAAATTGAGCACTGAACCACCTAAACCATTTTTATTGTGCTGTGAAGAATTAGATAAATATAACCACAAAACTATATGTCAATTATTTAATAATGCAGTGGGTATTTTGTGGCCGAATGGTATTAAACACAATAATGTACTTTTACTTTTAACGGACGCCGCGCCGTATATGTGTAAGGCGGGAAAAGTGTTGGACACATTTTATCCAAGAATAATACATTTAACTTGTCTAGTACATGGTTTTCATCGTATAGCTGAAACAATTAGATTTCAATTTTCAGAAGTTGATTCGTTAATTTCCAACGTAAAAAAAATATTTTTAAAAGCGCCAAGTCGTATACAAACATTTAAAGATATGTACCCGGATTTAACTCTACCTCCCGAGCCTATTATAACTCGATGGGGTACGTGCTGTATTATATTATTCAAATAACTTTGAAAAGATTAGAAAAGTTGTCTTAAATTTAGATCCCGAAGCTGCAATAGCAATAAAAAAAACTGTTGAGCTCATAGACAGTAAAAATTTGCAAAACAATTTAGCATTTATTTCGACTAATTTTGAATTTTTGGTTGATACTATTTCAAAATTAGGAACTTCTAAAATGCCACTAACGGAGAGCTTAGAAATAGTTGTTAATGCCATAAAGCAATTAGAACGGGTTCCTGGAGAAATTGGAGTTTTGACCAATTCAAAATTAAAAAATGTATTGGAAAAAAACACAGGTTTTAATACTGTAATGTCAATAAGAGACATACTATTAAACAAAACTCCAAATAACAATTATTCAGAAATTGAATACACTCCAAAAGAAATAATGTGTATGAAATATGCACCTGTCACGTCCGTTGATGTGGAGAGGTCATTCAGCCGTTACAAAGCAATGTTAAGACCGAACCGCCGCCACTTTACATTTGAAAATTTCAAGCTATATGTTGTTTCTAACTGTTTCCCACATGAAGACTATGATGAATCAGAATAGATTTTTAATTTTTTTATATTTTTAATTAATTATTTAATAATTCTATGTTATTTTCAATTTAAATATTTAAATATTATACATTTATAAATAAATATTTATTAAGTAATAAACAAATATAATATATTTAAATATTTTTAATTTTATACTAAATTAAAATCCGTTCCCTAGTAACCAGAAAAGTATATAAACCCGTAACACCGGAATTCAATAACACTAATTTACTTTCAACACCCGAAACCCAAAAAAATGATTCCAGTGCAAAGCCCTGAAAACAAGTGAACGAAAGTTGTTGTAAGTGTGTAAGGGGGAGACAACAAATGCAAGGGCTTCCTCTTAAAAAATGTAAAATAACTAAATACAAAAGTACTTTCTAGTACAGTGGTTCCCAAATGGTGGTCTGCGTGTTTATGTTAGGGGGTCAACGGTTGTGTCGTACTGCAGTGATTTTTCATTTTTATTTTGTTTAAGTGAAATTATTAAATTCGTAGTTGTTTAAAATTCAGTGTATTTTTGGACTATAGAAACTCGATTCACCGCGAAAATGGTACATGATTAATTTATTCAAATTGAAAAGTAAGTATTTACAAAACAGGGGTCCCAGACCAATTTAAGTTTTAGCTAGGGGTCCGTGGCTTCATACTAATTGGGAACCACTGTTCTAGTACAATAAAAATATTTAAATGACCATAGAACAATGTAAGTAATAAATAATAATAGTTATAATACTTACTTATTATGAAAAAGTGGTTTAAATATTAACTTCCAAAAATTTTTGTTTTGTTGTAAGTAATGCATAGCTAAATTAAACCTGTTGTACCATAAAGTATGAATAATTCCGAGTGTTTCAAGATAAATATTATTTTCTTGTTCTTGTTTAAAATCCTAAATGAATAACATAAAATAATTCATTTAGTAGGGTCGTTCTAAGTGTATGGGCTAGATGGGGCAAATGCACCACCTGAATAAATATTTTTTTAATAATTTGGACTTTCGTTCTTAGTTAAATTATTTCCATGATTATACGCAAAATAGTAAAATTTTGAAAAACTGTCGCCCTTCGGTATGAACATATTATGTAAAGTTATAGTTTAAGAAGTATGCTCAACATGAACCTAGTTTTAGTCCTAGATTAGCGCATGTGCATGGCTATGTATTTTTGTGCATACTATTACTGCATTGCATATGATTAAAGGTATACGTGTGACATCAACTTGATTTTATTGTTGGTTGCATATATAAATTATACATTTCCCCCTTAAAAAATATGCGCACTTTTATCATTGAGCATACTTCTTATTCCTTATACTATGGGTACACTCATAAAAACAATTACCATGCAATTGGAATTTTAATTTTACTTATGTTGACATCATAGTAAATTGATAAACGTGATATGTGATAAAATATTATTATTATAATATACTTTGAATAATATCCTGGTTGAGCTTGAGTGGAAATATTTTATACAGAGTGTTGCACGATAAATGTGTCAAAATTCTAGAAAAATGGAACAAAAAAACTAACTGAAATTTTTTAAGAATTCGACATTTTAAAGTTGTAAACAATTTGTGTTATTCTTTTTACACTAAAAATCAGGTGGAAACCTTGTAAGATATGTTTTCCTAATCCCAATTCTATGAGCTTTTCATCAATGTATTCAAATTAATTGTAGTACCTAAGGTTTAGCAGATATGAACATTATTATGAATCAAACTTGTGTGTTTAATCAAAAAAACACAAACATGGAAATTATTACCCATATTATTAATAATTCGATTATGGTCATAAGGACTTTTTTTGTTCCATTTGAGGTGAAGTAATACCTCTAGAAGTTTGACACATTTATCGTGCAACACTCTGTATTGTGACAGTGTTTATATTGTGGTTAATAAATTAGTGACATATGTACATTTCAACTAACAAAAAATTACTTATGTACTAATATACTGATCATTAATATGTAGAAATTTAGGCAAGGGGGAGGACGGCACAATCCTGGAGCGGCTTCAGGAGGATCGGGGGGGGGGGGGTTGGTTTATAAGATGCCGCCCCTCAAGCTATATTTCTAAACAATTTTATACAGTTAAAAAAAAAATTACAAAAAAAATCATCAACATTTTCTGAAAATTATGACCTAACCTAACCTAACCCCAACCATGTCACTGGAGCCGCCCCTTGGCCTACACCATGGGTAGGTTCTCCCCCGATAGCGCCGTGATACCAATATGAAAAAAGGGAGTGTGGGGCAAAGTATAACCATGACTTATATTTATATCAAAAGTATATTGTAATTAGTGAGCTAATTCTCTGCAGGCAGTGGTGTATTTCGATTTGTACACCAGTTTCCAATTTTTTTCGGTTTCGGTTTTGGATTTTGTTATTGGTTGCAGTTTTTAAACCGTTTATACCGGTTTCTAGACCTGGACTATTTACGTTCATTCTTAGTTTATTAGTTTTTTTGAATCGCTGGATCGAGCTTCCGATCGCCTATTGTGTAAAGTTAACTTTCCAGAATGTCAAGATACACAGATTTTCAAAAAATAATACCGTTTTTAAATTATATTTTCAGTTTTTAACTATAGTACATTAGTACAGGTATCCAATTTTTTTCGGTATTGAATTTAATACCAGTTTTCAATTTTTTTTGGTTTCATAACGGTTTATACTTTATACCGGTTTTAAGCCCTGCACTATCAACTGAGAGAAAAAGTAAATTGTAAATTAGAGTTTTTTGTGACAATGAGTAAAAGGAAACTGAGAAAAAAAAGGGGCGCCAAAATCGTAAATACGCCACTGTCTGCAGGCCCTTCTGTCATACACATTTAAGTGTTATATCTGTTCAAAACTAAATTAGCCCAACTAGTATAATAGAAATTAGTTATTCTCCTAAATTTGAATATTAGTATAGTAAAATAATATAACTAAAACCTATTCAACATTTTCCAAATTTTACTAATTAATATGCTGAGTTAAAAAAACAATATTGGTATTAAAATAAAAAGTAAAATTTGACTTACATCGGTCTCGAGTTCAACTTCAATGAACCATAATATACTATCATCATTATTTTCAATTTGTTTCTTATCTTTAATACATTTTTCAAGTAACTCAATGTTTAAAATAATTTCAAACATCTTACATTGATAAGCAATGGCATTATGTAAGAACTTTAACATTTTTACCTATAAAACATGAGGAAATATTTTTGAAATATTTGTGAATTAAAACATAATTGTATATATACGTACAATATTATTAGAATGCAGTCTATGTAATTTTAAATAAGATATCATTTCTTTTTGTGCTCTTTTGTCGTTGTCAAAACCCATTGAAAGGCTGAAGGAAACAAATCGTTTCTGAACAAAGTAATTAATGCATAATTCAATATTTAGGATAATACATTTTTTTTTTTTTTCTTACTTCTGCGAGTGTCCCAAGAATAGTAAGAGATAATGTGTTTAATTTGTTATGAAATACAGTCAAACGATATGATAACAAAACTGCGAGCCTTCTTTCAGGATCAAATAATGCAGTATTTGTTCCTTGTTTAACTGTAGACTGAAATTTTAAAAATAAACATATAATTACATATAAATAAATACAATTGATAACCTTACAAGTGACTTGATATCGATCATATAATTTAATAAGGACAATGCAAATATTAAACATTGTATATTTCTTTTTCCAACTCCACTCGTCCAACTGTGATAACTATGCATTATTTTAATAAAATCCTTTTCTCCTAAAATTAGTAAAACATTAATAACATTTCGAATATATATTTAATTTTATGGTTTATTTGGAATATAATTATTTAAGCTGGTCTAACCTCTGCAAACCAAGCATAATATAATAACGAAACAATGGTTATATTAAATAGTTAACTCCAAGCAATGATTGTATTATGTATATTATAATTGAATGAATATAATTTTACCTATAGAGGCTATGTTTAAAATCATTAATGAAGCAATTGATGTTGGACTATAGGGCAAACATAAATCCAATACTTTTTTAATCACCATGATTGAATTTTCTTCTTCAGGTTCTGATTCTAACATAGAAACAACATAGATTAAGCGCATACAAGCCCAACCTAAATCCATTTTTTCTTTGGAGCCTATAAAAAAATCTGATACAGCTAACAATGGCATGATAGTCTTGAACACGAACATTACACCTGCTGTTGCACACTGACATGTTAGTATATGCCTGACCTGTAATTAATTATGTAAAAAGAAAACATTATATTTAAATAATACAAAAACAATTTTAATATAAAATACCTTTAAAGAAGCCTCGACTAATTTGACATATTGTGTTAAGACTGGATACACTTCAGATCCATATTTCAGAATCATTAATGCAATAGAATTTTGAGAGAAAGGATGTAAATTTACGGCAGAATCTTCGAGACCACTCGTTAAAAAAGGGAAAAAATTATTGGCATTAAAGTAACACATTGTTTGTTCAGGGAAGTAAACAAGTATACATCTTGCTAATTTTAATATTTCAGACACGACTTCTGGATCAGCCACATAATTTGAATCAATATAAGATACACTAAAATAAATATGAATCAAATATAAAACATGCATACTTATTATATTAGTGTAATAGCTTATACCTTGGTACAAGTGTCAACAGAGTTTCACAAGTTCCCATAATATCATCATTTAAAGATGTCGCAACATTTGCAATAGATTGAATAATTTTAATAGAATTGATAAGTATTTGTTTAGTACTAATATAAGAAGAAGTCTTACGATCCTCATCACGACACTAAAAAATAAATAAATAAATCCCAACACTAAAATAATAATAATAATGTTAATTAATTGTATACCATTCGGAAGTTGTTAATTGCTGAGTTTAAAAAATAGAATAACGGCACTTTGATGTTGAAGCGGACCATGTCTCCATTAAGAATAAACCTAGTGTTTTTAGGAATTTCAATGCTATAAATTGAGTCATTTACATAATATTGATCAGTTAATAAAAATGTGTCTGTTTCGTGTTCATAAATATACTGTCCATCAGGTGGAGAAACAGCAGTAAATGAATTAATACTATTCATCAGATTCCAAATCTACAAATATTAAATATTAAAAATAAACCATAATATTTAAAGGTAAAATATTTACTTTATTTAAACTTTGTGGTGCTCCTTTTATGATGCCGGTAAAGAGTTCAAATAAGCTATATAAATCAACAGGATACATTTCTATAAATTTTTTTACAAACAAACCAACACCACTTTTTAAGTTATCTATTGTGTCTATTGATAATCTAGGGTTTCTTTTTAATAAATAAGACAAAAGCTTAATAATAATTGAATCATAGTCAACCAATTCAAATACATCCAATTCAATACTTTCAATGATAAGGTTTTCACATAAGACTCTTCCTAGTTTGTCTATTATTGGATGATCCTAAAATAAATATTAAAAAAAATACTGAATATAAGTAACAAAGAGTAAATTAGAATTAAAACACTTTTAAAAAAAGCATTTAAGCCGAATGAACAATTAACAAAAATGTTTATATACTTTAACAGCTGGTGATTGACACATTTCTAATAAAGATGGCCACATTTTTAATTCACTCATGACTTCAGTATAACCTTCTAAATTTTGAATATTTTTTTTCCCAAATTTTCCTTTAAGGTGGAGGAGTGTCCAACCCATCAGCACAACACCATATTCACTGCTAGGTTGGATCATCTGAATAATTTTATCAGCTTCATTGAATTCTATATTAGTTGACCAGATATAGTTCTCTTTCCTGTAATAATAAAAAAATAATATAAATAAACCAAAACAAACTTATATTAAAAAATCTAATTTATGAATAGTAGTTTATTAATAACAAATTACTCACTCCCAAAATAATGCAATGATTTGTAATGAATGTAGTGTCTCTAAACTTGAGATCTGACTCATAAAGGAATAATATATAGTTTGTAAGTTATTATAATCATACTCCAATGTTTGATTTTTTCCAAAGTTATTATCCTATAAGTCAAATAAAATAATATTTACTACTTATAACTTATAGAAAATAATAATTTTTTTTAGATTTCAAGTGGAATGAGAAATCATTATTAGTTTTACAATATGTCTATTTTAATTAATATGTTAAATAATTTTGGGACAATGTTTCAGACAATATCACTAGAAATTGGATAGTAAACAAAGATTGAATTTTTAATTAGTCACACATAATTTTGCCTTTTAGTTGCATTGGGCATTTTTAGAAAGTCACGTCTTGTTGGTTTATTACTGTATTTTAATTTTTTTAATAAGTTAATAATATTTGAAAACGCAATACAAAATTGGAACTGCTTAACATCCATTTTGGTATATAATACGTTAATAATACCGACACAACATATGTGGGTACGATGTCCTCTTAAGTATAACTTATAAGGAAGTACATAATTTAAGCAAATTTAAAGCCATTTTTGGATAACATTTGTGCCACACAGTATCTATTAACTACCCATTTTACATTCATTTTGAATTCAAGTTAACTTAAGATCGTTCAGGCCACTTTTTCAATTTAATTTAAGTTATTTTTTTAATAATTAATTACATTTTTTAAACTTTTACATCTAGTTTTTGAAAATTAGGGAATAAAGTTTGAACAATTTACCAGAATAATCTCATAAACACTTCACGATAAATTCAAATGTTTTAATAAAATAGATTACTTTACTACATCAATCTTACTAACGGAGGCAAAATGCATGGTTTTTTTTTTTTAGTAAGTTGCATGTTTGAAAAAGGCAATGAAAACCTTAATATTGGTACTCGATCATCTTAAACCATTCTTGAACAGTTTGGGTTTTTGAATAAAATGATTAATGGTTCTTTTATTTTTTAATATCAAATAGGTATGTACAGGTAAGTATTTTGATATAAAAATAAAATATTTAAATATATTATATATATTTATTTTTTTTAATAATTACTCACAATGAGATTAGTAATCCACATATTAAAATCATCTTTTGTGATTTGATCCATTCTGAGTGAAGTTAGCACCATCAATTGCAAAATTTCAATTTGTTGATTTAAAACATATGTTAACAAATTATTGTGTATAATTTTTTGAAGCGGTTTATAAACTATAGAATCAAAAAATGTCAATGAACGAACATATGATAATTGCTCTCGTAGAGAAATATACCAATCTTTCCAGTTTTGTTTACGGACAATTTTCTTACATATAGCCTAAAAATTTAAATTATACATCTAGGTAATTAGAGACAAATGAAAATAGAAAATATTTATATAACTACTGATAGCGGTTAAACTTACAGAATAATGACAGTTTTGATTTTCTGCAGCAGTGAGAATAAATTTTAATGAACGAAATAAAAATAACACTTCTTCATTATAAAACTTCCAAATATCTACACAGAGATTATGTAATTCATGTTCAGTCACAGATGTATTCAATTCATTTTGACAAACAAACTCGTTATATTTGTTGTAAACAATTTTAGCGTCTTGCTCGTTAATAAACTAAATAAAATCAATATATTAATATAGGCATATCCTAGATCGTGACTGGGAGAAACATAAAATAATGTTTAATTATTACAAGTAATTGGGATAATATGGGATATAAGTATTCTGTATCTGATTTATCATTTTTATAAAACACTAATCTTGATGAAGCATGAAATTTAAATTTGAGTATGCCTTTTTTCAAATCATCCAAACCATCGTATATCATAGATTCAATTGACTCATCAGCATAGTTGACATTCAGTTTATTAAGTTTATAGTAGAATTGTTTCCAGCACCTAAAAATAAAGTGATAAAATCATACATATTGATATATATGAAAAGAAGGTAATGGTTTTGAGCATAACTTACGTCAATTGTTTCGAATTCATTTTATACACCAATTACTCGAACAAGAAAATAATGGAAGTTTAATGTTTACTAGTCAGTATGTAATATAAACAATATTATATAGTATAGAGATATTTACAACTGATCCATAAAATGTATGAATAATGATTTATGATTTATCATTACAAATAATTAAAATACAGTTTAAACCTTGAATGAAATCTAATATAAAATAATAAAATTAGTTATAACTTTTTTTTATATCTTAAAAATGTCAGAATAACCGATAACTAAGACGTAGCAAGTTCCACCTCAGTACTCAATTTGTAAAATGTAATTATGGTAATATGACCATAAGAACATCCAGCCATCACCAATTAATCACAAATCGCAAATAGTAAATATTAAATAATATGTAACAAATAATAACCAAATATCAGTAACTAAATCAAATAATTGTCAGAACCTAGTCCTACCGTTAACTTTTTAATGTAAATATTATTGAGGTTATGATATTATTTAAAAAAGCTATAACCATAGATAATATAATCACCATATTCTGTGGAACAAACAACGATAATATTATTGTTCTATGATATCCTACCCTAAATATCTGAAACAGCTATTGGCTTATTGCTGTTCCCGGTATTGTTCTATGGTATTACACAATACACGCTCACGACAGTGAGGACAAATTTATGGTTTCAAGAATTCAAGAATACTCATAGACCACGATCACGATGTAGACCTTTACCACAGATTACGAATTAAGATTATTATCTGATTATATGCCCGCTTACGTTGACTCCGCTTTACAAATGTAAACATAGCAAAAAACTGTTTTGCGCGGGAAAGAACCGAAAAGGTTACAGTCATAACTTAGAAACGAGATTTTCACCACATAAAGAGGAGAGCTTTGGCTGTGCAACGTTTTTTTTGTTTTTTTGATATGATTTATATGAAAAAAGTTTGAAAAACACGAGCGATAATGGTTTTTGAAACAATAAGAACTTTTTTCGTAGGTATAAGTATATCAAAAAAATAAAAACAACGTTGCACAGCCAAAGTTCTCCTTTTTATGTGGTACAAGTCTCGTTTCTTAGTTATGACTGTAGCCTTATCGGTTCTTTCCCTCGTAAAACAGTTTTTTCTATGTTGTACATTTGTAAATGCGGGTGTAGCGTCCTCTTAATTCGTGCCACAGATATATATTATAAAATATACTGTTGAAGAAAATCCAACCATTTTTACTGTACTAAAAGGTAATGAGTAATGACAGACACAAACAAAAATAAAAAACACACTGTAAAATCGATTTCGATACATTAATCGCTCCTCTCAGAATCCAAAATTATTTACAAGATTTAAACATTTCTCATTGCTATCGCCTATCAATAGCTTAAAAAGAGTTAAAATTGTTTGAACATTTGATGTATGGAAAATGGTCATTTTAACATTTGGTGAAAATTTCAAGTGTCTTCAGAAATATTCAAATGTACATTTATAAATAGATTCATATTTCCCATACGGAGGTATAGTTCAGATAACCAAGATGATTATAACAGGTAGGTAGTCTTGGAAATATTTGAGTAATCGTGATAACAAGGAAGTACTTACCAATATTTATGAAAATCCATTACTGAAACTTATAATTTATAAAGGAACCTTGCATTAAATTTTCAACCATTTTTACCCAACAAATAACATTTTATTGATATTTATAGAATAAAAAACTAAAAAAATTGTAAACTAAAAATGACTATAAACAGTTCAAAACAAACCAAAATATTTTGATGATTTTACCATGTAGATTGTAGGTATAGATAATCTGAAAATGCATTTGTTCAAAAATTTCAAAAATTAATTTGTTCTATAGTAACGCCTTACGCCAAAAAAAAAAAATCGATTTTGTCGAATACCGATTTTGCATAAAAACTAAAGATTCCTGTTGTTCCTTAATTTTTATGTTGTCTTTCCCGGCGCTTTTTTCCCAACTATTGAGAATTTCTATTTGATGACCTCCTCATTCATGAATGCACCAACTAGATTCACTTTCCCATCGAACAAGATACTGTTGAAGAAAATCGAGGCAGTTTTACTGTCCTAAACGGTGGGCAAAAAATAAATTAAAAAAAAACACACATCATTATAAAATCAATACATTCATCTCTCAGCTCAGAATCTGAAATATACAAAATTCGCTTTTCTATCAGAAAACATGCGGATCTCGTAAATCGGAGCAATTTTAATACCACAAAATATGTTGATGACAGACAGAAAAAAAACACACACACATTGTAAATATATACAATACCTAAGCGTCCTAAGCACTATTCTTTCGCTCCACTCGCAGAATCTAAAAAGTTATATAGAAGATTTCTTATAAGTAGTTTATACTGTAACCAAAAATCGAAAAAATATATATTATATAATATATTCTTTGTCTAATTTTTTTTTTTTAAATAATACATTTAAAATTTAAATATACATTAATTTACATTTAATAATACATTTTATTTTTTATTTCGAATTATTTTTTGGCACTTTTTGGCTTGAAAATTGAATACTTGTTATAATACCAGTTTAAAAATATTAAAAATACTTTTAGATTCTCAGCGGCGCGATGAATGTTTTATGTATACATTTAAAATTTTAAAGTTTAAATTCATCAAAATCTTGCAATTTATTTTCGAATCATTAGCGCAAATAGGGGAGGGGCCCCCGCAGTTAAAAATCTATTAATTAGTACTAATTTTTATATTCTGTGGTACTAAGCAATATGGCATATAGGGAGGATAGCTTGAGTCCCCCCAAAAATTTTTGTCAATTTGCCCCTATGTTTAGAATAATTAAAAAGATTTAACATTTTAGATTCAGAGTGGAGCGATGAATGTATTGATTTTACAATGATGAGTGTTTTTATTTTTATTTGTGTCCGTGTACACTGCACTCAATAAGTAGGTAGTCGAAATAATTATGCTTCGATTTTCAGCTTTAGTTTTTTTTGTGTCTATCATCGCCTTTTGGGGCAGTAAAAATGCTTCAAAAGTGAATTTAGTTGGTGCATTGGGAGTTCAAAATTAAAAATTCACAATAGTTTTCAAAGGCGCAGGGAAAAACAAGAAAAAATTAAGAGAAATGGGAATTTTCACTCGGAATCGGTTTTCGACATAATCGTCATAATCGATTTTGGTTTATGGTGTAACTCGAAAACAAATATATCCATATAGACATGTGTGTGGTGTGCTTATACTATTTATATAATACTGGGTGATTCTTTTATCAAATAACACTGATTATTTCAAAAAGTGTAAATTTTTTTGAAAATATTTTTTTACATAGTTTCAAGTCGCCTATAAACAACGTTTTTATTAAAAAATTATATTTTTAAATATTTTTTATCCTTATAATTTTTTAAGTTTTTTACTTTTTTGAATAACAACATTAGGGTTTTAATTTTATATTCCAAAGCAGAATATTTTTCTTAGTATTTTGATACATGAAAATCGAATTTGGGTTGAGTAGTTTATGAGTTATAAATATTCAAAGTTTGATGAGCGGTGAAGTGGACAAACATTTCGCGAGGTAACCCCGAACCACTCCACTCCGCTCGTCTAGACTTTAAATACTTATAACTCGTAAACTACTAGCCTCAAATTCGATTTTAATGTATCAAAATACTAAGAAAAATATTCTACTTTAGAATATAAAATAAAAACCCTATGTTGTCATTTAAAAAAGTAAAAAACATAAAAAAAATATAAGGATAAAAAATATTTAAAAATATAATTTTTTTATAAAAACGTTGTTTTATAAACGACTTGAAACTATGTAAAAAATATTTTCAAAAAAATTTACACTTTTTGAAATAATGAGTGTTGTTTGATAAAAGAATCACCCAGTATATACGGCTACTGTAGTATACTGTGCC